GACACATATAAAAGGAGTACGTTGTGCCCTCTTGGAACATGTACACACAAATGAGTAGAACCCTGCCTCCAAACCACGGATCCTAAAGAATGCTCGTAAGGAAATATAAGACTGCTCACCACTACAGGAACCTTCAGGTCGGTGCCAGCACGCCATACACGTCTATCCGATCAACTCCCTGACAGGTCTCTGCCATGGGTTTTCCCCTATGCTAAATGTGATTTGTCTCTAATTTTCCGTACAAAATGATGTTCCAACGAGGAGATTATTAAGATCCTGGTTATGTTAAACCTACACAATTATTTCTAGCAAGCATTATAGAGCGAATAACCTATTTTTTTCCAAAAAAAGGATGGCCTCCCAAAAATGCTAGACTTACGGAAGGCTGCTATGGAATTTGCCTACAGACTCATTTCCCCATAAATCATCTATCCCTTGATTCCCTGTTGTGCCCCCCTTCTCCATTTTAAAAAAGTGGGAGCCTAGCTCCATGGGGCTACATCAGCCACCCACAATGGGAAGTACTCTCGAAAAAAAAACAATGGGAATTACGTGCAAACAACCCATGTCTTACAAATATCATTGCTAGGTCGACATCCCGACTTGTTGAATATAGTCCGATCTATCGCCTCCTAGTGCATGCACATAGAGACACAGACAGAATTGCACGTCTCCATAATGTGTACTCGGCACCACAGTGAGTAGCCACAAATCACTCTGTGCATTTTAAAACCGAACCGAAAAACCATACCGAAAATAAACCGAACCGAACCGATTTTTTTGTTTTTATGGTTTCTGGTTTCGGTATGGTATGAACTTTTCATACCGATTTGAACTTTGGTTTTTATGGTATATACCGAAAAACCGAATGGTTAACCGAATAAACCGAAGTAAAAGATAAATTTATATTTCTTGAGATGAACAACCGTACAAGTTGTCATTTTTCTTGTACATGAGTCAAATTCACTACTAAGCACCTACATTTTTCTTGTAACATTGTCATTTTTCTCTTTTTAAAATGCTAAGCACGTCCATAACCATCAACAGATGAATCAATGCATGAATATATACTTATATATATAGTCATATACTATTTGTGTAAAATAGAATGTGTTTTGAGTCATAAATTTGCAAATTATTATTACGTCATTTTCAAATTCGCGTCAACTTTGGTTTTTATGGTATATATCGAAACCATACCAAAATAATTTGGTATATACCAAAATCGAACCATATTTTAATTTCATACTGTATTTACCGAAGTATTAATACCGTACATACCAAAAAACCGTATAAACCGAACCATGTAAACCGAATAAACCGAACGCACAGGGCTAGCCACAAAGATAACAACAATCCGGCTGCTGTCATCTAGTACTCCGCATGGGGTCAACGTATGCATGTACTCGGCATCGAGGACAATTCGTTGTTTCAATCGTGAAACAAAAATGTAATGCTCGGTGATTCTACTTCCGGTGCAATACAATACTCTTTTTTTTGAGGGTGGTGCAATACAATACTACTACGTACTAGTAGTACGTATATAGGAAGTAAATTTATTTCAGGAGCTCGCTTCGTTTTACAGCGCCGGTGCCGGCATGTTGGGCGGCTTCCCCACCGTGAACCCGCCGTCGACGACGAGGTTGTGCCCGTTGACGTACTTGGCCTCGTCGGACGCCAGGTACAGCGCCGCCCTTGCGATGTCGTCCGGCTCCAGCACCGCGCCCTCCATCTCGTTGATGTCCCCCTCCACGATCCGCCGGTGCTCCTCCGCGCTGGCCTTCGGGTACCACTCCTCCAGGATGCGCATCACCAGCGGCGTCGGGATGTAGTTGGGCGAGACGGCGTTGACGCGCACCCCGGAGCGCGCCATCTCCCCCGCCACGGCGCGCACGATCCCGACCACCGCCGCCTTGGACACGCTGTACGGGTGCGGCGTCACGCTGCCCAGCACGCCGGCGACGCTGGCCATGCAGATGATGCTGCCGCTGCGGCGCGGCGCCATGACGCGGGCCGCGTGCTTCACCCCGGCAATCACGCCCCGGGCGTTGATCGCCATGACGGCGTCGAAGTCCGCGAGGTCGAGATCGCTCAGCCGGGGACGCGCCAGGGAGCCCACGATGCCGGCGTTATTGAGCATGATGTCCAACTTGCCGTGGCGGGCCACCGCGAGGTCCACGGCCGCGGCGACCTGCGCCTCGTCGGTCACGTCGCAGCGCGTGTAGCATGCCGCGTCCGGGCCGAGGTCGGCCGCCAGGGCGCGGCCCAGGTCGTCCTGGACGTCGGCGAGGACGACCTTGGCGCCGTTCCTGACGAACTCCGCGGCCGTCGCCTTGCCGATGCCGCTGGCCCCGCCGGTGATCACGGCCACCTTCCCGGCCAGCCTCTGCGAGCTCGAGGCCGTGGAGTAGCCGCGGTGGCTGACGTAGCCGGCCACCGACGCCAGCGCAGCCCGGCGGCTCTCCCCCCTGCAACACACACGCGCAGACACACCAAGACCAAGATTAGCACGCACATGCACGGCGTTCTCTTCCGAAACCAACCCCGGCGTTACCTGGTGACGACCTGCACCGCTCGGATCATCTTTGCGGATCTTGGCGAAGTGCGACTTGGCGATCGAGGCGAAGGAGACGACGGAGCAGCCGATATTTATCCGGGCGCCGGCCCGCCACGTACGTCCGGCTCGCTGTGGATGGATCATTGCATTGCGCCATGTGGGCTCTGACGTAGCATGCAGGTTGCAATCATGCGGACAAAAGGACACGGCACGCCGGGCTTCTACAGTTGCACTGACAGGACAGGCGAAACACCATTGCCGCCACCTACGCCCTACCCTGGATTCTTTCACCGATCAGGGACTCGGTGAATGCATCGGGAAGATGCCCTCTGTTCAGCCGCGCATGCTTAATTTCCATCCACCATTAGTAGAGTAGGATCAAAGCAATGGTTCATGTCCTGCATTTACCTAAGCATGCATGCAAAGACAAACAGGAGGACCTGGCCAAGTGGCCATGCCGGGCTGTAGCCCGAAGTGACATCTTTTGGTTACCTGATTCTTGAAAGACGGGCCGGGGCCTGATGCCGGCCTAGCTCCACCACTGATTCACAATCACATTATCCCGATCTGCAGAGCAACCGTGATCGTCCATAGACGTGACATTTTCTGAACCACTAGGGGTTGGGACGCCGCCGGGTGGCGCCACTGGGGAGGAAGTTCGGCGGTGCCTGGTAGGGGAGCGCACCTTTTCACTTGCCTTTTGTGGTCTAGGTAGCGCATGTACTGGCAACTGTTGCTCAACTAATTGAAAGTAGATAAATTTCTTAGCTTTGGTACATGATGCACATATATCCTTTTCACTTTTCTTTTTTGATCTGGGTAGCACATGCCAATGGATAGTAGTAAAATAATACTGACAGAAGCATGTTGCTGCTTCTTGAAAAAGAAAGATACAACACAAAAGTACAGCGCATGTACAAAATTGATCATGTAGGCTACACTTGATTTAATTCTTGTGAAAAGAGAGCAAATAGCACATCAAGAGCAGATGCCCGAATGGCCTTGTCCATTCCGGGCAGGTTGAAAAGCTCGATCAGCATGGAGGTGGGCGTCTTCATGGCGGCAGCACCATTAGTTGTGTGGCGCTGGGTGGGCGTCGAGGAGGATAGTGGCATTGGCCCCGCTGGCCTCGGGCCACGGCTGCATCATAAAAAAGGTGGTGTCCGCAAGGAGAGGATCAAGGTGCTACCTGTGGATTCCTGGGTGAGCATCACCAGCAGATATGGAAGTGGCACTGGTTCCCATGTCCGAGTCTCCACTGGTGAGGCCGGCGTGGTGGAAGGATCCGAAGAGGACTCATATGCAGATATGCATATTCTGGCCAATCATCTGGATATTAATTACTTATAGGTAGTGAGTTTGATAAATGTTCAGGATGTTGCAAGCTACAACTTCAATCAAGCTGAAATAGATAAATGCACTATAAAACGAGAGGGGAAATTTCTGACCTTTTAGAGTCTTTGTCCTCAGGCTGATAGGTAGGTGTAGTATCATGTGATCACCACTATCCAACTGCTTAGTGACTGAGAGAAAAGTTCCTGATAAAACAGAGATTGAGTTACAACAATAATGTAGAGATGATGTGAGGGCATGTACAATGATGGCATATGAATACATATTTTTCAGAAGACAACACTCATAACTATCTCAACAACGAACTGATACTGACATCTAAAATGGCATCCAAAATGAAGCCACGCGTGTAAAATTCCATCACATATTTATTTTGGAAAGCAATAATTAAAAACTATCACAACCAACATCTGAGAGCAACATCCAGAGATTACCTCACCATGGAGAGGCACTGGCCATCCTCGCCATCCCCGGATGGCAGGCAGCTAGGCGCCATGAGAGCGTGAGAGTATGGGAGAGATTACCTCACCATGAGAGCACTCATGGAATACCTGTAGCAGCCATATAGATCACAAACTCAAACCCTGCTCATGAAACACGAATTAAATTAGGAATAAGGGAAAAGAAAGAGCATATCAGGTGAAAATGTGCACAACCTGAAGTAAGGAGGATTGTAACAAAAAATTTGGAGCATACTTGAGAAACTTTTAGAGGGCGTGTAAATCTCATTCATGTGATCTCATAGTATTCTCATTCCTGCAACCTGCGTACAGCCAGCAAATGGAAGCAGGTTCATCTCACAAGAAAAAAGATGTAAACTCCTTCGAGGCACAAATATGCTAAAACATAGAAATCTCATACATATATTGCAAAGGCAATCAGTATACAACTAACGACATAATTCGCATTACCTCCCTCGTTGTAGAGACAAAGCGGCATGGTGGTAGTGGTGTACGATTGAGATGCCTACACACCACAAGATAAGCCTGATGAAATTCTGAATTGCCAAAAGTTGTAGATGATTCAAATAAGCAAGGACAACATATAAAAAAATCACAGAACAAAAACCAAAAATCCAAGGTTAAAAAATAGAGTGCCTAAGTAACACTAAAAGGATATACGAGACATGCGAAACAACGAGTTAGATTAGCCTAATGGAACACATGTAACCTTAGCAAGAAAAATATGACTTATTGAAAGTTAAAATTAATATGATGACTAACTACGAAAACTCGCTTATGTGCTCGGGCTCGTATGATCCTGAAGTGTGTAGTAGACATCAGTAGAAAATTTGGTATGACTACCTGAATGCTATTTCCAAAATGATAACATAACTATTTTGCAAGCTATTCTGTTCTATATCTACAAGTGTACTTAAGAGGATGTATTACTTTGGTTCTATTAGGTACGGACTTCTTTGTTCTCTTCAGACAGAAGAAAAGCTTATTGGTGAGATGAATCATGATCACCTTCAGATTTTTATATATGTACACAAGATCACCACCAAGAATATTTATATTCTTCACAACAGATAAAAGTAACCAGAGTTCTGATTCACACTGCTAACCAACAAATTAACAAGTTAATCAGATTTTCTAACTATAATTTGACAAACACCTTATCCCCATAAAATTCGATGTAGCTTTCCAAGTTTATAATAAGCAACAACAAATGTTTCATCATCACCATGCTTCTGCAAGAACCTGTGCAGACCCTTGTTAGACTTGCTATTAAAAAATGTAGAGCCACAACCAAAGGGACCTATAATGTATCCTCAAACCTGTCCAAACCCTTCAGCTCGAACATTACTGAAATACAAGACACAGAAAATCAAATTGACATACTTCTAGCAGAATATTAGTAGGATCTAATTTGATAATCAAATATAAATTCTTCACACAGAACAGCAGTATAAGTTGTTCAGCATGGGCTAATATGGCACTATCATGACAGTACAACAGAGATAAGCAAACCTCTTTATCTGCTTGAGCCATCGATTAAGGTTATCAAAGATAATTTCACAGTTAACTCGCAACCATGCAAATACACATCATACAAATGGCAATTTGAATTAAATCTGCTACATGTAGAAACAACAAGTGCCTGCCAAACATCTAAACAGCCATAGCTCGAAGGCTAGGTCGGGGAATAGAAAAAGGACAGGGAGATCAAGAGATCACCAAAGGACATGGCTGTGGAAGTAATAAACAACACCGAAAAGCCAGTACTTTTTACAAAAAACGGTGGGAGAAATAATAAGTAGGCCTCATGCGAGGGCTAACTCCAACCATCATGATAAGGCTATGAAGAATTTAGTACAGAAGTCTGAATGTGGCCTCCTATAAAATACTTTCTAGATAGTTATATTGTACTATAAGATGCTAAATCAGGAAGGAAAAACATGTTCCAATGAGCAAACACTCTTCACACCGATCTTTATAGAACAGACATACCGCATATATATCCTGGACATATGCAGTGTATTACTATATTCAAGGATGGCATGAACATATGCAGTGCTCCTGTGAGACGGGTTTAATTCACAAAGAATAGTATTATGTGCTTAAAATCTTGGTTAGGGTGAGAAGGTCACCTGGCTGTGTTCAAGTGCCACGGGAACCTAGCAACAATGAAAAATAGATTAAGGTGAGAAGGCCACCAGGTTTCCTAACCAATGAGAACGATGGCAATGTTACAGGTCCGGTGTCCGCGGTGCGGTGAATTGTGCTGCGTAGAACTGGATGCCCTTTCCCAGCCTGCAAGCTGAGCCCAAACGTATCAACCACCACCTTGCTCTAGATCCATTCCGTGAACACATAAAACACTAATTAATGCAACTCCAACTTCACAAGAACTCAATCAGAACAGAGTCTTTATTCAGAGAAAAAGCCAAAATTGATGCAGCAGTTTTGTGTGCACCTGCCATTGCATGGATCAGTTGTGACTGAACCCACCGGTCTCTGAATTGCCTTGCCTTACACGGGCAAGTTTGAGCATACATACTAAATCAATTAATCCAGACGACGGTTGCCGTCACATCCTTCGGCGAGACTCCACCACTGGGCATTGGAAGTAAAATCAAGACACGGTCGGTCACACTTGGGTACACCAATAGGAAAATCGGTGAAGCATATTATGAAATTAAAGCACTTTAGTAAATGTGTGTGTGCACACGTATAAGAGGGTGTCATCATGTACTGAGAGCACTGGGCATATTAACTGTTCATTTCTTTCTTACAATTGATGATCAGTTTAAATGTCTTGTAGTGAGTTACCTAACATGCTTAAGTAATGTAACTAATAGGCGTGACAGTAACTGAAGCAAATAATAAGCAATAGTCATTGCCGTGTTATGTAGCCCATACAATTTAGAAATGAAACTTCAGTAGCAGATATATGGTTTATGTGTGAGCAAACAAAATAGCGTTTACGGTAGTTAGCTGATGAGTGTTTGTGTGTCAGAACTGTTAGCAAATAGTAGAGCATACATATTAACTTTTAAAGGAGTGGTTATGTGTCAGAATTGTTATCAAATAGCCTCAGGTCAACATTGGTGACACCAATCACCAACTCCCAAGAAACAGGACCCGTATCGGATGAGGGTTAGGCAGATGGACATAATTAAGTTAAATTCATGCGGCTAAATTCAGATGACACGGGAAATTGCAGATAT